TGTGTGTGTGTGTGTGTGTGTGTGTGTGTGTGTGTGTGTGTGTGTGTAGTAAACTGTGTTATCACCAGAGTAAGAATAGAAATTAGGAACTTTCTTGGCGGATTACCCTAAGAACAAAGTGGCTACTTTCCCCATGAATTAAACAATGTCTTGTAAAATACTAAAATGTAACCATTCAATGTGAACACTTTACCTGTATTATTTTCTGTTTTATTTTTCAGTACTGTTCGCTTTTTTGTGTCCACTGATTAAATGTAATGATATTGGACAAAAAATATACAGCAAAATCAAGTCCATTCTATTGAAGCTAGATTTTGGAATTGGAGAATATATTAACCAGAAGAAACGTGAGAGAACTGGTAGGTCAAGTTTGAATATTAGTTGTGTGTGTGAAAAATGAGACTTTTGCTGAGAGGTACTGTAAAAGCTCCCAGCAAATTGGGATCTGTATAGTTGTTTTTTATTTGTCCTTATTTAGCCTTATAGTCTTCTCTCAAACATACAGCTAAGTAAATGCATGTTCCTAAATGAGACATGGATACAATCACCCCACCCTAGCAAGGGACGATGACCAGTGGGCATGGGTAGATTTTGAGAGTCAGAGGTTGGGGTGGGGGATGGACTGCTGCAGAACAGTGTCTGCTGAAAATGACCCGCCCAGCTGCAGTCATGGGCTCACTTAAATAGAGGTAACCTGCACCAAAACACACAAGACCCTGCCTGTCAGTGTTTCCTCCTTTACACTTTCCCAGACCTAGGATGCATCAGGATGACCTGGAGACTGCGTACCGCATAGCGTACAGTCGAGAACAGCACCTGAGAATCCGCATTGCCACAGTATTCTCAGGGCTGGTCATGCTGGTCATGCTCTCCCTGGTCATGCTGAGAACGCAGATGTCCATATGTCCCCTGGAAAGCAAACGTTTGCAGACAGGCGAAGCTCCTTCAGTACGAACAGTTACAGGGAAGCAGTTGACAGACATACATTCCAGTGATCTAAGGAGCATATATATTGAAATAAATGCACCGCGTCTGAGCTTGGAAGGAAACTAAATGCATCCCCCTCCCCCAACCCCCCTTTTTTCCTCACAGAAGCAGATAAAGAAAAAAGTCACAAGGATGACAGTGAATTAGACTTTTCAGCTCTTTGTCCTAAGGTATTTTGGGTCAATTTGTTTCTGTGTGGTTTGGCCATTTATTTACATAAAGTAGAGCGATTGTCCTAATAGACATCTATAACATGCTTATCTTATCCTGTTTTACAAGATGATTGAATAATCTCCAAGGAAAATTATCATTGTTTTTTTCTTTAACTTTAAAATTTAGGGAGTTAGTGTGGATTTTTAAAAATGTAATTTTATTTTATTTTTAATAATTTATTTTATGTGCATAGTGTGAAGGTGTCAGATCCCTTGTAATTATGGTTATAGACAGTTGTGAGCTGCCATGTGGGTGCTGGGAATTGAACCTGGGTCCTTTGGAAGAGCACACAGTGCTCTTAACCACTGAGCCATTTCTCCAGCCCCAGGGAGTTAATGTGGATTTTTTTTGTAATTTCTTAAACTTTTATTAATTATACTTTATTCACTTTGTATCCCCCATAAGCCCCCTGCCTCCTCCCCTCCTAATCCCACATTTCCTCCCCCTTCTTCACGCATGCCCCTCCCCAAGTCCACTGATAGGGGAGGTCCCCCTCTCCTTCCTTCTGATCCTAGTCTATCAGATCTCATCAGGAGTGGCTGCATTGTCATCTTCTGTGGCCTGGTAAGGTTGCTCTCCCTTCAGGGGAAGGTGGGCAAAGAGCAGGCCAATCAGATTATGTCAGAGGCAGTCCCTCTTCCCATTACTATGTAACCCACTTGGACACTGAACTGCCATGGCTACATCTGTGCAGGGGTTCTAGGTTATCTCCATGCATGGTAATTGGTTGGAGTATGAGTCTCTGGAAAGACCCCTGTGTTCAAATTTTCTGGTTCTGTTGCTCTCCTTGTGGAGTTCCTGTCCTCTCCAGATCTTACTATTTCCCACGTCTTTCATAAGATTCCCTGCACTCCGCCCAACAGTTGGCCATAAGTCTCAGCATCTGCTTTGATAGTCTGCAGGGCACAGGCTTTCAGAGGCCCTTTGTAGCAGGTTCCTAAGTTGTTTCCTGTTTTCTTCTTTTTCTGATGTCCATCCTCTTACTAGTGTGGATTTTTAAAGAGTTTTTCAGTTTAAAATGTGCCACTGATATTTCTTTTGACACAGATTAGCCTCACAGTTGCAGCCAAAGAGCTATCTGTGTCAGACACAGATGTGTCAGAAGTATCTTGGACTGATAATGGGACCTTCAACCTTTCAGAAGGGTACACTCCACAGACAGACACTTCTGATGGTAAGCTGATACTTCTGGGTTCTCTTTTATTGGTATTGAATAGACAAAAACCTACGTAAATTGGGTCAACTACTGAGGGGTCAATAAAATGTGGACTATTTGCACCATGGCATATTACTTGGATCTGAAAGTAAGTGGAGTCCTGATACTTCCTATAGCATGCATGAACCCTGAAAGCACTGTGCTAAGTGAAAGAAGCCACCTATTGTATAATTCTATTTAAGTGAATTTTGCAGAATAGCCAAGTCCGCACAGAAGTATGTTACTGGTTCCTACAGACTACTAGGAAGGAATGGTGGATGATCATTAAATGATACAACTTGGAGTGATTGAAATATTATGGAATTTGGCACCTGATGCCAGGCCTGATGACCTGAGTTCAATTCTTGGGTCCTACATGGTAGACGGAGAGAAACTACTCCCCCAACTTGTCCTGTGACCTTCACACACGCACTGTGGCATCCCTCCCCCATACACACAAAATAAATAAAATGTTTTGAAAGCAGAAACAAAATCAGTCTGCATTTTAATTTCACAATGCTTTCAAATGTCTAGAATATTGGTATTATCACTGATGGATGTACCAGAACTCACAAATACCTTTAATTGACCATGTTGAGGGTGGGTCTTCCCAACTCAGTTAAACCTTTCTGGAAACATCTTCACTGATATGCCCAGAGGTGTGTCTCCTACGTAATTTTAAGTTCAATCAAATTGACAGTGAAGAATATCAGAAACACCAAAATTTTAGTTAAACCCCATTAGCTCATACTAGACAATGCTCAAGCTGATTGTCCTTGCATACACTAGTTTATGCTTAATTAAGAAAGCTAAAAATACAGGGAAAATATATAGTATTATTTGTCCACCTGCAGGGAAATTTGTTATAGATTTGGGAAAGGCCCAACATGTGGTTAAGGTGATTCTACTAGAGTGAGGAAGCTAGGTGAATGCCTAGTTGTGCAGAGGGTGCAGGTCAAAGCCATTTTAGAAAGCTCTTGCTTCAGTTGTCTTCTAGCACTCACACACAAAAACCTCTCTTACACATTTTACAGATCTTGACCGGCCCTGTGAGGAAATCTTTTCTCGAGATCTCTCAGATTTTCCATCTCTGGAAAATGGGACGGGAACAAATGATGAAGACGACTTAAGCCTTGGCATACCTGCTGAGCTCACGAGAAAAAAACAACAGTTGGACAATGGTCACAGACCAAGCAAAGACAGGCAGTCATCAGCTGGGTTCTCCCTTCCTCTGAACAGTGACCAAGCCCTTCACTTGATGAGCAACCTGGCAGGGGATGTCATCACAGCGGCCATGACTGCTGCTATCAAAGACCAGCTAGAAGGGGCCCAGCAGGCACTGGCTCAGGCTGCACCCACTATAGGAGAAGACACAGACACAGAAGAAGGGGATGATTTCGAACTACTTGACCAGGCAGAGCTGGATCAAATTGAGAGTGAACTGGGACTAACACAAGACCAAGAGGTAGAAGCCCAGCAAAGTAAGAAGTCTCCGGGCTTCCTTTCCAATCTCCTTGGAGGCCATTAACTGGGAATCAGCTTGCAGCAAAGCACAGATAAACCATCCAAAAATTTCAAACAAGCAGGGGGAAAAATGGAAAAAAAATTGAATTGTAAGCTTTAATTACTTTAGATTTTTTTTGTTCTCTTTTCCCTTCTATAGTGAGTTGGATATGTATCGACTGATAATGATAGACTGACATTTCTGATAGCTATTTTTATGTAAAAAGCATGGAAATGAACTTTATAGCTACATATAGACATACTGTGGTGTCATAAGTGATTAGGGGTTGTTTTTAAAGTGAAGAGAAAATAAAACACCAAAAAGCCCCCATCAAACTATTAAGATCTTTCTATGAGTATTCTTTTTCTTTATAATTTTTAAGCATGCAGAGACTTATCCTAACTTGTTGAAAAGTAACAATTGTGAACACATGCTCTGTCAGCTCCCTTATTACTCATACTTGGAAGCAGTTTATCAAACTTTAGTAGATTTTAATGTAAATTGGAGAAATTATCAAAATGTTTTTAGTTGAAGGGCTATGGAAATGCTATCAAAATTAATTTTCTAGGAAAAACTTCAAAAGTAAGTACTACCTATAGGCAGAAATATTTCTGTGTTGTTTCTACAGTTGTAGACATAGGCTTACTTGTCAAGTGGCATGCTCCACTGATTGCCACATCTACTCTTGGAAAGAGGTGGTACTGACTCCCAGAAAGCAAGTGGTTATGTATCCCATAATAATGCGCTTGTCATGTTTGCAATGAGGAGGTTATACGTGCAGTTGTATTTTGCACGCTCAGATGTAAGTAAAATCTGATGTTTTTATATTATGTTATAGTCTCCTAAGATTGTGAAAAACTAGCTACTGGTATGTCCTAAGAGTGATGTGGCCTTTGGTGATATAAAACAACTGTTTTTTTGTTTGTTTGTTTGTTTGTTTGTTTGTTTTTTTTTTCTGGTTTACAGACACAGAGGAGAGGAACTTTCTTGAACTTAAAAGTTCATTTCTTTGCCACTTCAGCCTAAATATGTAAACTGTTTCTTACTGGGAAGCTAGAATATTTTTCCTTTAAACTTTTTTTGATCACCTTTACATAATCACATTTGACTTAGAGTGGAAACCAAGATAGTTTTGTGAAACAATTTTAGCAGTACGGAGGGACCATGTCCACAACTATCTTAACCTTCAGTTTTAGCTGGCATTTCTGCACAGACATGCGAGACCCTTAAGACTGTAGACATCTGTGTTCTCTTTCACTTTCATCCCTTTTATTTCTAAAGACAAATTACAGCTAACTTGAAATTTTAATGTACTATCTCTTATTTATGTTTTTTTGGAGGTATTAAAATATCTAGACTGAATTTTGCCAAATGATAAGGGAGAGAAGTTACTGAAGACTCTGAATACTTGCTCTTTTTGATTGACCTATGCTTATGTCATTAGTGCCTCACAATCGTGTTTGATGTCCTTTATTGATTTAAAGTGAGCCTGTGCCTTCATTCTCTTGCCCATTTTGGTAGCAATGTAAATCTGTGTTAGAAAATCTTGGAACTGTGTGAGTCCGGGAAGAATCTATCTGAATTCTATTCAATGCATTTGCTGGATGTGAAGAAAAATACAGCCACATATTTATAAAATAGTTGTTACCAGTACTCTTTTTAATGTGTATGTTTCTTCATTTAGAAAGTATTCTTAGTTGCGGCATTATAAAAACACCACCACCATCACCACCAACAACAACAATAACAAAAGTCATCTCAATTTCTTCACTGAAGAAAAAAAGAATTATAATCAATAATCAAAGAACATGTTGTTAAGTCACTGGACAAGCTTATAAAAGAAATGTAGACTAAAATGTTACTAGATACAAATTAAAAGAAAAATTGGTTGGGGAAAATAGTCACTGATGTGGGGGAGAACCAGAGAAGCGCACCGTAGTCACTTGCGTTTCAGCATGACTTGTCCAAGACTCTGTGATTGTCACTACCCACAGGACAGTAAGGAAACAGTGCTCACACATAGGATGTTGAAGTGCATGTGTGCTTCCTGTAGGACCAGTGTTTTCACTTTTAGGCTCTCGTAGTAAAGTGAACATTAAGACTGATCTAGTGAAGATCCATTGCCATGAGAAGTTGCACAAACTGCAGCATTTTCTCAGTTAAGACCCAGATGGGATGTAGTCATTAGAACACGAACTATTTTAAGGTTTTCTCTTTTCCTGTGGAAAGGACTGAGAAAACCATACACGGGCCAGCCACACTGATCATGTATTTTGGTAACAATCAATAAAGGAGTGCTCAGGAATCTGAGGTCTGAGAGGGAGGGCTAACCCAGGCTTGCACATCCTCATTCTAAAACACTTTTTCCTACACTAAAAATCTTCAAAATGGATTAAATTTCTTCCTGCCTACCTTCATAGACTATGGGAAAGACAAACTGTTATGAAAGTTTTATAATTAGCAAATTTCCCCATATTTATGAATTACATAGAGACTTATTTGGGGGAAAGGTCTTACTGTGTTGCTTAAAGTTGGCCTTGAACTCATGACAGTCTTTTGACTCAACCTCCTGAGTGCTGAAATTAAGGCATATCTTTGAATATGACGTCTACTTACTTTAAAAAGAATAACTTTCTCCTTTTCAAAACAGGTAAATGTCAGCATCCTACTGATATTAGGCTACAAGTACACAGAAATTTAAGACAGTAAATTTTAATATTTTTTGTAATTATTGCAGGAAGTTATTGTGAACCCCTTAGAAATCTGTTGTACAGATCACGGAAGTCCAAGAACTGTGCATTCTGTCCCTCTGTTTTCACTGCAGCCTTTGGGTTAGGATTCATTGTAGAGGGCTGTCCTCTGGGCCTGTTACCATCATCATTGTTCATGGAGCAGCTGTGAAAACTCACAGGCAACCCTTAAACTTGGGCCTGTTGACATTTTCTTACAGAGGAGAGGTGGGAAGGGTCATTAGATCCTCATCTGAGATCTTCGCCCCTTCCTGCTGAGCCTTCCTGCCAGCTCTACAGAATTGTGCCCTAACTATATGTGGCCTCATGAGGTGCTAGCCTATACAGAGTGTGGAAGGTTAGCCAAAGTGTGTGTGTGTGGGCCTCTGTCTACACAGCTTGCAGAAGTATTGTCCGGGAATTGCTAAGAGTTTTTGCTGATGTGGCTGCTTTGGGATCACCACACTCTTGCATAACACTCTTGCCCATGCTCTGTAAGTAAACCCGATAAACTCACTGGTCTGCCAAGCTAGACTTGAACAGAATTGTACTTTGGTCTGTCATCAGTCCCTATCTGTGCGCAATTAGACATCTGTTTCCCAGGGAGAATGTCCAAACATTTTTATGGCCCTAAGACATGATGTTCAAGTCATATGATGATCTTTAAGCAACAGCCTGGTAGCCTTTCACCCATAGTTTGAGAATGAATTTTAAAAGCAACTTGAAGCACATTAGAGGAGAATCCTCATACCATAAAATCAAGACACTGATTTTTTTTCCTGCCTTAGATACATAGTATCTAAGCTATTATTTTATATCTTAAAGGCAACTTATAAGTACCTATTTACAGGAAAACTGTGAAATTTCCCTAGTGGGTTTAGAGCTATGATGGCCTTATAGTTCAATAAATGCCTGTGAAATAAACAGATGAAAAGTGTTTTAAAAGCGTATATTGCTTCAGCTGTCTTTGTGGACCACGTATAATGTTCTATACTAGTTATTTTTAATGGCTCTAACACTACTTGGTTGTGGAGCTCTGGTGAGCTCACCTAACCCTTTGTATCTGTTTCCCTCACAGACGATGATTAAAATAGCAGGGGCAGGATTGGAGAACTATGGTATGGTAAATACAGGCTGCTATCTATTTATATATGGGGTGTATACTAAAAATAATTTTAGCTCCCTGAGACAGGGTTCTCATTCTTAGCACAGGCAGATCTTGAACTCACGGCAATCCACTTGCCTCTGCCACGTAAGTGCTGAGATTTTACACATGAGCCATAATGTCCACCTGTATTTTAAATTATTATTTTTTTAATTCTGGAACCTGTAAATAAAACTTTTATTAGACATAACTGTGCCTATTAATTTACATACTGTGATTGGCTGCTTTTATTTTATTGCAGCAAACCCAAAAGGCCTGAATAAAGACTAGAGACTAAAAAGCCTAACGTTTTTACTACTTGTCCCTTTATGGTAATCATTCATGTAAGTAATAGGAAATACTAATACGATTTTGTTTAATCTTAAAAACCCTACATTTAAGAGATGACTTAGTATATTTCCTGTTGGTACGACAGAACTCATGATGCTGGTAAGTTTATACATAAATATATTTAATTCTCAAATCTAGGGGCCCAAGAGGATGGGATTGGCATCTCTTGAGTTGCTGCTGCTGATTGAAATGTGCTCCACATGTGGAAGAAAAGCAGCTGTGGGAATGGATGTATGTGGAAGATAGGCGTCACATGGTTACAGGGGAGGCTGACCAACTTTCAAGGGCAACGGTTGTAGTAACCAATCAAGTCCCAGTTCTTTTTCTTTTTTTTGGAGGGGAGAGGTGAAAACCTGCTAGCTCATAGAGGCAGAAAAAGCACCCAGCTGACATTCTTTCTCAGCTCAGGTCTGGATGGAAAAACACCCCAAAGGGCTCACAAGCTCAACTGACAGTGCAGGAGGAAAAGGCCAGAAAACCCAAGGCCAATGGCTTGCTAGCACAAAGCCCCAAAAGCTAGGTGTCTGAGGAGCTGAAGCCTTAGCTAAAGCCAGTGCTTAAGCTAAAAGCTCTTTCTTTTGCACTCTGTCTTAAATACCCCTCAATTCAAAGTCTCCCCTACTCTTTAATACCTGTCAGCTGGTTTTTTGCTCTGCCTCTTGATCTAGAGTTAACTTTATTAAATCCTGTGTACAGAAAGCTCTTTGATCAAAGGTGTGTGCTAGGCTGAATCACACCATAATTACTTGTTTACAATACACAGAAAGTTCTTGGGTTAAAGGTGTGTGATAGGGCTCAACCAAACCAAACAGGAAACAGGGTTTTACAGTTAACAATTTTGGGGTTCACATTGGGATCAGATATCCTGCAACACAGCCCCACCAGTGGGAAGTTATTGAAAAGCAGGCAACAGAGTCCATGTCAGAGAAAGCCCCTGTTCCTCTTTCTAGGGGATCCACATGTTGGCCTAGATACCAGTAGTCTACACATGTGTAAGGGACCTAGGTTGAGTTCATGAATGGTCCTTGCTTGGTGCTCCGTAAGGCTCCTTGGGCTCAGGTTAGTTGTCTCTGTTGGTCTTCTTATGGAGCTCCTGTACCCTCTGGGTCCTTCTATTCTTCCCTCATTCTTCCATAAGACTTCCTGCGCTCTGCCCAGTGTTTGGCTGTGAGTCTCAGCATCTGTTCCTATCTGCTGTTAGATAGAGCCTCTCAGAGGACAGCTATGCTAGTCTCTTATCTGCAAGCACAGCAGAGTATCACTAGTAGTGTTGGGTTGGATCTCTCCCTTGGGGTGGGTCTCAGGTTGGGCCAGGCATTGATTGGACACAGTTTTTTTAATACCTGTTTTATTGACTTACTAGATTTATTGAAAAAAATTTCAAAGTGATGGGTTTCTCACACACACCATCCAATGGGTTTCAACAATCATTATGAGCTCAAGTATTAAACTCCTATGAACTCATGTATTTAACATATTTATTGCACTAGTCCTAGTTTCTTGACTAAAACATTAATCCACTTATTAGTGCAAAGCTCCCATGACTTAATTACCTCTTAAGTGTTCCACTGCTTCCCAACACTGATACACTGGGGAACAAAATTCTAGCACATGAATCTTTAAGGGCCACACCATACCTAAATAATGGCAAGCACAACTAACATGCTGAAAAAGAGTGGTAAATAAACTAAGGCCACATTGCAAGCAGATGAAAAACTAGACTGCTTACAAAGCCCAATTTTTCAAGTTCTCTACAGAATTAATTGAAGTAGCAATGTTGCTTTAAAGAGAAAAACTAGAGAATATTGAGAAGCCAAAGATGCAGAAATAGGATTGTGACAAACAAGAGCAAGAAGAGAGTTAATAAAGATATGAAGTAAGTACAAAATCAAATGGGAAAAATCCAGAAATGCTTTTTTAAAATATAAATTTAAAAAAAAAAGCTTCAGGGAAGTTTTGAAAATACACATATTTTGCTCAGTTCAGTTGATGACCAATACTAGCTACATTTCTCAAAAGAGAATATGTCTAGAAAGCTCAGTCATCGCAAAATTTTTGGATAATCTTGAAATAAAGCTTTCTGCAACAAAATTATTAAATTTCACTTTTGTGCTTCAGAATTGTAGATTTAAGAAATTTTGAATAGTCTCTGTCTTGGTATTATTCTAATGTTAGGTATGCAGCAATGGAAGGGAAGCCTGTTTTCACGGAATTTATACACTCAAGATGACTAAGAAGATGTGTTACTAGGCCTTCTGATTTGTCCATAACTGTATGGTTTCCTCAGGTGCAGGACTTCCATTGCTAAGCTCGGGGAAAACAATACAAGCTAGCAGTAGCCACTCTCAAACCAATCCATAAAGTCCACCTGGCCCCACTCCCCTGTGGGGCCCGTTACTCATGCTCTTATGAAAAGTCTTCTCATGTTA